GCTCGACTAGAGATCATCCATCAGATGATTGAGTGACCCGCTGAGATTATCCATCACCGTCTCAGCGACAGGGTCAAGTCTTTACTTACCAGCGACAGGGTCAAGTCTTTACTTACCAGCGACAGGGTCATGTCTTTACTTACGACATTTCGTTAGCGAGCAGACGGCTGACCGTCGAGTAATGCAACCCAAGATGATCTGCCACATCTTCTGTGAATAGCCATAACGCTCAACGGCCTCGACAATTGCATGGTTACGCCTCTGTTTAACGGATCTCGATTCTTCTGCAAACAACTCCTTTAGCCTGGGTCGATTGTAAACTTGTTTGCCGGGGTCGGACCAACTTAACCCATTGTTTTTACAGAAACAATCCCATAAAAGTGTGTCTCGCGTCAACTATCTTGTCCGGTTTGACGACAATTAAGATGGCCGGTTGAGTTTCGTTATTTTCTTAGATGTTGTTTCTTGCGATAGCTGTCTCCTTCGATTTCAATAATGCTGGCATGGTGGATAATCCGATCAACCGCAGCGACGGTCATCAACGCATCGGGAAAGATTTGATCCCACTGGCTGAAGGGTTGATTGGATGTGATTATCAGGCTACCGCTTTCGTAGCGGTGGGCAATAAACTCAAAGAGAGCTTGGGTTTCACCGTCACTCTTTTTGACGTAACCGATATCATCAATAACCAGCACCGGGTACTTGTCTAGGCGGGTCATGTAGGCCATCAGATCCAGCTCTTTTTTGCCTTTTGCAGCTGCTGGACGAGTTCGCTGGCGGAGAGCCATTTGACGCGAACGCCGCGCTCAATCAGGTGATAGCCTAGCGCTGCGGCAATGTGAGATTTGCCAACCCCGGAAGGCCCGATCAGCAGTACGTTGCCTGCTTGTAGCGCCCATTGGTGGTCATCTTTGAGCTGGAGTATGGGCTGTTGAACGGCTTTGGGTAAATCCGTAAAATCGAGAGTTGCAAAGCTTTTACCTGCAGGGAGCCGAGCTTCTCGAGTCCACTTACTGGTCCTTGTTTGAAAGCGTCTGGCCAGTTCCTGCTCGCAGAGCTTGCTCAGGAATTCTGAATAACTCCACGTCTTCTCAATCGCCTGTTTCTGATAGTTATCCAGGTTCTGACTGAAG